TGTATCCAATTTAATTAATCGTTAAGTTTATTTAACAAATTTAACGATTGTCCACGATGGACTGTTTTAAATAAAAACACTCAGCTGATAACAATATATCTAATTTGTAAGCAGTTCATACAACCAATATAAAGAAATGGATGACTTTTGGTAGAATACTGTCTGCCAGATGCGTAGCCTTTGCGAACCAGCCATCCCCACACGTTTTCTATTATATTGATGTCCGGTGAGTAAGGCGGCCGCTTCAATAAATCGACATTTGTGCTTCAATCCAAGATTTGATCACCAGGTCAGTATGAATCGAAGCATTGTCGTGTTGAAAGCATCCAAGACAATCACCAAGCACATTTTTGAAATGGGGAAAAGCAGTTTTCAATACGTTTTTATAAGTGTTTGCATTCATATTCGTGTTCAAACAACTCGCACGTAACAAAACATGAGCTGGCTCCCCGCACCATTACACCGCCCACACGACTATGATGCTCCTTCTTCCGAAGATCATGGAAATAAAAATGGTATCAATCGCATCATTCCAAATCACATCCGAAAAGAAAACAAAGCTCCAATCAAAATGTAAGCAGAGTTTGATTTAATCGTATTGCCTTCCGAGCATAGTTAATTGGTGGGTTTTTCTTTAGTTTTAATCTTTTCAAATGTGGAGTATTCCTTAACACCATTTAAACAGCAGACAAGGTGGCTTCAAAACCAACATTTGCCCTGATCTTGGCAGTCGATTCATGAGAGTTGGATGCTTCTCTCAACATTACTCTTTTATCAGCATCGGAAATCACTTTATTACCACCGGATTTATTATTTGTATACATTTACTTGTATCCCCACATTTTAAGTAAGAAATTGTACATAACTTATCCACTTCTGCAGACCTTTTTTGCTATTTCAGTTATTGAAAGAAAATAGATCACTTGAGCAGTAAAAAAACTTTCGTTTCAATACCTGTTCAAATTCCAAAGATAAATGAAAAACCAACTTCATGTCCTAACCTGATGACGCAAAAATGAAGCACCCTTTTCGATTGAAAAGAAAAGAAAACAGCAAAAACCATATAATGGTATATTGTTATCACTTGTTCGCTTTGTCAGTGATAGTGCACACAAAAGTGAGAAAAATAGAAGGTAAAAAAGTTGCTTAAAGTTAACAACAACAAAATCAGAAGCAATTATATTTGGCTGATGTAGGCGTGCTAACCTGAGGAAGTGCAGTGTATGTATATGCGAGCATGTACTTTTTTGCGGCCATAATCATAAATGTATTTGGGAACTCTTTCATCTTAATATATGTATGTATAACAAATTAATTTCTGTCTATATCCATCTATATTTTGAAATTTTGTCATCTGTTCAAGATGAAGAAATAATTTCCACTAAAGTGGGCAGTACCAGCAATTTTTTCAATGCATTGCAAATTCACCGAGTACACTGAATTAGTTCTTGGTATTGCCGGCGGCTGTTACAAGACCTGGATAGCCAAACTGGTAGCTCCCGCATCAAACAACACATTCAACACAACGGCGGAAATTTGTTCGAATAAAGGATATTTCACATAATCGACTATGACGTTCACTCTTTACTCGCTGTAACTTACATCTTAATAACATGTTTCAGATTTGAACATTATATAGTAGTATGTTTAATATTTTAATATTTGAAATACTATATGTAGCCGTTAATTTACATTCAAAAATGACTGCAAATACATTTTGTAATGGAGGAACATTACAAATCGTTTCACATCAATGTGAAAGAGTCGGAGTTCCAAGGGTAACTAGTGGACATTATGAGCAAATCAGCGTGGGCGTACTGTAGGGCACTATATGTGCAATGTACTTGTATATAATACATACATCCATATACACACAGCCGTGCGCTGATTGCCGCAAGCCCATGAAATTAAGTCACAAATTAATTAATTAATGCAATCAATACGCGTGACATTTGCATTGCATTTCGCGCTAGACAACGTGGGCAGCACACACACACACATATGCATGCACACATATACTTGTGCATACGTGTGTATATATGTACACTTGCATGCACTATTAAAATCTGCAATTGGGTCTCAGCCGGCTGGCTTAAGCAAACTTCTCTTTGGCGTTTTCTACCTATTGACAGCTCCCGGCTTCTAAATATAGCAAGTAGGCCGCTGAGGTCGCTTGCAACTTCGCATGTGTGTGTGTGTATGTATGTGTGTGAGCATGTGTTAAAGAATTACAGCACATTTAGACACACACACACGCACACCTAAACAGGAACAGAGCGCTCCATTCAACATTATTTTAAATGGACTTTTAATGTTGTTCGTATGTCGCATGCGCTTCATTCTTTTGGGGTCAGCTTATATTTTTGGTCTCAATTAGCCAAAAGATTGTGCCTTACATGTGTAACCACAGTAAAATAGGTGGATTTTCCGACTTTTCATGTTTCAAAATTTTACAATAGCGGGCCAACGAACAAGTGAACAATACCAGATTCAAAGCTGCTAATGACATTTATTTTGTTGCCGAATGACATTCTGAATCGTTTGGCCAAATAATTTATTTAATAATAACATTTATTGGTCAGATAGCTACAGAAACTATGAAAAACAATCATTAAATGTAAACTTAGTCTGAAGGAGAGGTAAGTAAGTAACCCCAGGTGACCAAAACTAATAATTACAAGCTGTACCTTCTTTTAGTGATCGAAACTACAATTTCAACAAATCATTGCGAAATAAAATTGGCAAAAACCGGAAACGGAAATAGTTTATCTCCACCTCAAAATTATTTACTATGTCTACAATGGATTGTGTCTTCCATGCTTTGCTTTTTATCTTTCAAATTTTTAAAAGAATTCCTATCCCGACACTCTCTCTTCCTCCTTACGATTGATCTAACTGCACTCTCTTGCTTCTTTGCAACAAATTATGGCGCTCGACCACCCTCGCTCCTCGCTTGTTCATACAACGGCAGGCAACTGGCTCGATTCACAAATGTAGGCAAGTTAGCAAACTGTTATACACAAAAGGGAGCTACTGACATACAGCTTAGTACAGCAGGTATAATACATTTGGTTCTTGTTTTGTGCCTCTTTCTTCTTCGTTATGGCGACATTTTGCCTGCTCATATGAAGCCCAACTGTGACAAATTTAAAGGTAGAGAGATCCTGCCCTAACAGAAGTAAGTATTATTGCGAATACATGCAATGCAAAATTAGCTTAATGAGTAAAAAGAATTACATATAATGGCGTTAATGGTGGGTACTTACACACACATGCAGATCAATTGCGAATCTCTTCATTTGAAAATGATTTGTAGCTTGTATGTAAATCACAATAACATAAAAAACAAAACAAACAAAAATGTCATTGACCGCAATTGATTTCAGCTCATCCAAAACTTCGATTATTTTAATTTAAAACTGATTATTTAACTGAAATACCTACTTACACACGTATAGTACATATGTATGTATATTAATGCATATCACACGCACAATCAATAAAAAAGGCTAACAAAAAAATTTGCGACACCGCAATTCTTTTCAAATCATTCGCATATACACATACTTACATATGTATGATACATACATATATACACGGCACTTAAGACGCGTGGCGATTACACATTCTTAAAACTTAAACGTTGCCATTTATAATTACAACTAAGCATATTTATAGATGTTAACTAATATTAAACGTTTCAACTAAACGTGTTCTATAATTTTAGACAATTTCAACGTAAAGCAACGCGACGCGTCAACAGGCTCTTTGAGAATGCAGAAGTGAAAGCAAAGAATAAACAAGAGAGAACGCTACAGTCGAGCAAGCCCGACAGTGTAATACCCTGTACCCAGGTAAACTTCCGTCACTGAGTTATATGCGCCCATAGCAGCAGCAAAAAGAGGAAGAAGAAGAGCGAACTTGTTGCTGCAGTTTGTGGGGGTTGTACTGTAGAGAATTTGTTTCGCTAATAACTTTTCTTAGAATTGACCGAATTTGATAAAATTTTAAACAACAGTAGATAATTGTATAGAAATTATGTGTGCAAAGTTTGGTTTAGGTAGCTTTTGAAATGTGGACGCTATTGACGAAATTCTGTAGCGGGGGAAGGGGGGGAAAATTAAAAAAAAAAAAATAAACTCGTCCTTACTCGGACCTAGGAGAATCTGGATGCCAACTTTGGTTATTCTAGCTTTTATAGTTTCCGAGATCCTTGCGTTCATCCAGACGGACGGACAGACGGACAGACGGACAGACGGACAGACGGACGGACATGTCTAGATCGATTTCTCTCGTCATGCTGATCAAGAATATATATACTTTATGGGGTCGGAGATGCTTCCTTCTGTATGTTACATACTTTGCACAAACCTAATATACCCTTTTTACCCTACGGGTACAGGGTATAAAAACAAGAATGGAATGCTAAAGAGGAACGGATCCAACTCTTAAATAAAATACTCTGTACTTACTCCTACGAATGCTAACGAGAAACATGTTTTTAAATTATTATTATTTTTTTAATAAATAAGCTTAATAGAATACAAGATATTCAATAAATAGATAGAGACAAATATGTACATATATAAAGTATCTATGCGTGTGTGCGTGGGATTTCAGCAACAACAACAACACCTGCTTGGGCAGAGATTACATTTATGCCTATAACATTCTTTAAAATTTACCTATCCAGACAAAAAACTTTAGTATCTAACAAACGCACATCATATTAGGTAAACTTAGTAAAGCGCCCCCTGTCGTCAGATTGCTCAAGCTGAGCTGTCTTTCTGGCAATAGATGGCGCTTGCCAAAATTTAATAAGGCTGTGGATGGTCTGCGTTTTGACTCTGTGGCATAATGGAACTTTTTAAAGTGACGTAGCTCTGTGAATTTTGCGTCTTTTATTTTTATTTTTTTTTTGCTTACCTGCCGCACCTAGTATGCTCTGTTTTTTTCGAATAACCTGTCAGTTGAGATTTCCTTTTTTGTTCATTGTCTATTGAAATTTCAAGGTGTTCTCTTCGAGGCTTGGACACTTAAAATTTGTGCATAAATCAATTTCGAGTTTTGTGTGCTCCCGTATTATTTAAATTGCTTGTGCAAAGTCCGTTTTGGATTTCGCGCTTTTTAAAACAAAAGCCACTAAATTTTTAGCAAGTATCTGCGTAGGATCTCAACGAAAAGGGCAATCATGTCGCAAAAACGTTGCTTTTCCATAAACATGATCTGCACGAAGCTAGAAGTGCCCGGACAAGACTTTGGATGTCCAGAGAAATTGAAGATACGCGCTGATGTCTGCAAGGGCTGCAAGCCCACCTTAGAAGCCAGCCGCATCAACGTCAACTGCATGCCGTTGGATCCGATCTGCCAATTTCTCATGGATGCCGAGTGCTTGCAGAAGCGTCTGGCGGAGGGTATTCAGATAGTCGTGAAATATATGGGCAAGGAAATTGGTAAGCTGAAGCCGAGTGAGCCGATCAGCTAGGCATACACATCATTTACACAATCCTTTCAGGTCGAGCGTGTTACATGCTGCCCGAGTTCGCCATCGAGCGGGTGTGCACATCCTTTCGGGAGGTTTCCCACTCTGCCAATGTGGAGCTGACGCACAAAGGCAATACAGTAGGTATGATCGGTATGCGAATGGTAATGGTGATGCGGTGTCCACCTCTGAAAGAGTAAGTACCGTTCATGTGAGAGCCGCCTGCAGAAGTCACGTAATTGTGATAGCGCCTAAATTTCAATAGAATCAGAAAAATGGAACGCATGGAAAACTGCGGCGGGAATGTGAAGGATTGCGTGGAGAAGATGGTCGATGCACAGGATCTGCTCTTCGTTGTAGGCGACAAGTCGCAGAGTTTTCCCAGTTCCTCTGCCGATCCATGCCTAAGTCTGGGCTTTGGCAGCGGCATGGAAACCGGGTCGTGCTCCAATGACAAACTTTCCAAATATCGCCATCTGAATATGCGATCTACAAAAAATGCCGACATGCTCGACTGCTGTGATCTCTCCGTGAGTAGAAACAAAAAATTAAATCATTTCCATTTCGATAGACCCCTGGTTGTTAACCAATCTCTTGCAGGGAGCTTCGCCAAGACTACTCGACATGGCGGGTCCATTTACTATTTGCGAGGGCGCTGAGGAAGATGTTGGGTGCTACAGTGTGGGCGCCATGCCTGGTCCTGGAGCACACTTCGCCTTACGCCCAACCTTGGGTGATGCTAACACCAACCGCCTGTGCACGAGAATCTCTACTCCGCGTCTTAAACAGACCGAAATCCAGAAGGCGCGCCGCTGCCCGTTGTGCAAAGAAGATGTTTCCTGGCTGCCTAAAATTTCCGCTTGTCCGCACTGCGGCTACAAGCCGGTGCCCGAGTTCAGGGAAACAACCTATGATGAGCAGGCCACAGCCGAGGCGATACTTAATAACCTGTTCGAGCAGTCAGCCAGCGATGTGCCCAGCTTCGAGTCCATCGACGGTGGTTGCTCCGAAGAGGGGGGTGATGTGGATCCCAAGAATTCCGAAGATGAATTTGACAATATTGTACGAGACTTTAAGCACCTAAAGCGCAGCATTAAGAGGACACGCCAGCAGGACACTGCTGCGACGGTGCCTCGAATGTGCAGTCAAATCGGTGGAAGTGGAGGCAAGACAGAAGACCAACCAAACTTAGCCATAGTCTTCGAGGAACTTAAGGATCTCTTCAATTTGCGGGCCAAGACTACGAAAACGAAAATTCGAGAGATTTGCGATGAAGCCTGCCGTCTGGCCAACAGCGTCAAGGAACGCAAGAGCTCCAAGACAAAGGAACCTCTTGCAAGTGATATTTGTGACTTGCCCAAGACCAAGAAGAAGAGGAAGAAGTGCGGACCAAGACGCAGGCTGCCCATGAAATCCAAGGTATATTCGGTACTATCCGTAAGACCCCATAGTCAGCGTCTAGGTCATGCCGAATGCTTCAACGGCTTCGGCCCCGGCAAGAATGTACCCAGCAACATGGGCTGGCTGTGGACGCGTTTTCCGCTGGCCAAACGACCTGGCTGGCGACCAGGCGCTATCGGTCGTACCATACGAGATCTAATGAGCTACTTTTTGAAAGACTTTCCAGTGGACAGTGTGCCTGTGTCCAAATACATGTCATATCACAACCAAAAGAAGCCACCGCCAGTTGAGCGCGAGGCAGAGCCGGAGGATCTCGTCCAGGTACCGACGCTGCACATCGAGAAGAAGAATGGCGATTATATTATAACGCTGCGCCCGCTGAAGGATGCTTCAACGCTGCAGCGTGCTGCTAATCCCTACGCCGAAATGAAACCCGTGCAGTTTCGTATAACGAAGAGTCCGCTTCTCAAGCAGCTGCGCGAAGTGAAGAGGTGCCTCAAGAATATGGGATTCAGCAAGTGTAAGTGCCATCGGCCCGTGATGCAATGCTACTGTCGCACCTTCATCGACAAGAAGCGACTTCTGCAGGAGGTACAACGTCAGTGTGAGAAACGCCGCATGGATAACTGTCGCGAGCAGCTCGTTCTCTCGGACACAACGGATAGTGAGGCAGAATTCGATTTTGGCGTTACGCCGCCGGCTGGAGTGATGAAGCCCGAGCGCCTCAAGGTGGTTGATGTCGTTAACAACGAGACGCAGTACTGCGAGGCTGACTGGGCCATGCCCACCATGTTCCCCCATCCACCCAATGCCCTGATGCAATACGGCGCATGCACGGGCGGCGAGCGCAAAAAGCTCTTCCCCTGGATCTACGGCAAGGGCAATGTGCATCAGGAGCCGAAGCCGCCCAAAATGCGCAACATGCCGAAGAAAACGAAGAAGGGGGCGGGTCGCCAAGCAGGTGGCTATGCCGGTCAGATCAATGATACATACACCAGGCCACAACCGGCATTCTATAAGCTGCCAGCGGACCTAAATACAGCAGACTTGAGGCCCGGACATCTGAGTGGTCCTCGCATGCAGCGTCTGGCCCAGGCTGCCTACCCACCTAGCCACCATGCACGACGGAAAGCGACTCGTCATGTGAGGTTTTCCAAGAAACTCAACGAGCCTGCTATGTAATCCAAAATTTACAACTATTTTATGCAATATTTTGAAAATCCATAAAAATTTTTACGTTAACCATTCAACAAAATAGCTTTGAACCACGTAACGAAATTTAAGTAAAAATAAAAAATAATCAAAGTCAAATAGTAATTCCTAGTTTCTTCGTAGGCACGAAATTTTTATTTGGGATGAATACAACAATATCTACAACAAACAAGAAAAAAAGCTAAAACCGGGTGTCCCCACTAAGAAATACTCTGTATAATTATAGAAATTTACAAAGCTAAGAAAATTAAAAAAAAAATGTTGATCGATTTTACCTCTCTCGGTAAACAAAGTAATTTCCAAAGTAATATGTGAGTGTATGAATGTGTATGTGCGTCTATTCGTGTCTGTGTAAACATGTTTGCAGTCAACCAAAGCACCAGCATCAACAACAGCTGCGGGCAGCGCTTAGGCAGCAACTATATTTATGGCTATAACTTTCTGTTAAGCCGGTCTATCATAGCGAAACTTAGGAAACGGACATATAATCACTAACACACATTTTCTGCGTATTCAAAAAAGGCATTTTGGACTAAAATCAAATCAAATCAATCAAAAAAATAAAACAAACTTGCAGAGCGTACACACATAACGCATCTTTGTGCAAAATTTGGTGTCTCTAGCTCCTATAGTCTCTGAGATCCAGGTGTTCATACGGACAGACGGACAGACAGGGCTAGATGAACTCGTCTTGTCACGCTGATCAAGAATATACTTGTATATACTCCTTCTGTCTGTTACATTTTTAGCTCGCGCCAACCTAATATACTTGTACTCTTGTACATTTCAGTACAGAGTATAAAAACACAGAGTTGCGAGTATTTGCGTGCATTTTCCTTTCACATCTTCTGATTGTGTGTCTGACCTGCGACACTGCATGTATTCACAGCTTTAGTTGTTCAATTTACAATATTTTACGGGTTGGTTATGGGCCTTTTAATAAAGCAGGCTAACTGCCCCTCTCACGTCCCACTTTCTTACTAAGCTAGTGGTAAATTCTCACTCGAATTGTTCTGCTAACCTGTGGGTTGCAAACTTATTGAGCATATCAAGATATACTAATTTTTTTGATAGCATTTTTTCATTGACAAGCAAATGCTTGCCTTTAAAAATAAAAATTTATAAAATTACAATAATATCGAAACCAACTCAATGTGGAAATTTAATTCTCGCAACGGCCAGCTATGCCTCGATTGACAGGACAGAATATTCAGAGATGGCCAAAGAAAAGGAAATATAAATAGAGAGAAAACAATTGAAAATAAAATAGAAATAGAAGAAAGAAGTTAAATTAGAAGAGAGAATTAGAGAGTTCAGATGCGAGCGTCCAGTTTCGTTGAATTAGTGAGTTCGCCCAGGAAGGTGCTGCCCGAAGGCGGTCCACCTGAGTCTGCTGAGAGCTGGGCAGTATTTTTAAAGTAATACTTTAAAAATATTCAGCGGGAGTTGTTTCACAATAGAATGTGTTCGATATTCACTTTTAGGGGGCGGAGAAAGGCTTTCATTGAATTGCCGGAAGATAAGGCTTTTGAAAATCATAAAACTTCCATCTATGTCTCTCATGGGGTGTAAGAAGAAGTGCAAATTGGTTTAAATAAACAAATGCACGGCTGCTTTGCCAAACATTATCAACAAATCTATACACAGCAGCTTGTCAATGTTTGCCTAACCTTGCCACCAACTAAAACGGTGACATAATAACATTAACATTAACATTTGCGGCATATGCAAATTTTATGGCTTTTAATCTCGCTTGGCAATGATGTCTTTCTAACCAATAATGTGTTTCCGACGACAGTCGCCGCGCTCTGTTGATTTGCAATTAGCGCTAAACTTGGCCCAAAAGTCGCGGATTACTCTATATACGGCTTTGGGTGTCTCAGCTTTTAGTTACTCCACATTGTTCCCCCCATTTGCTCTGATTAAGTGAATATCATATCTTGATTGTTGGGCGCGTTAGGCATGTAATCCGCCTGCACTACAAAGCGCCCACAACTTGTCACCAGAGAGCTCAGACGCGCACCAACCGCCCAGCTGGCAGCACACAACACCACCAGGAGGAACGGAACAATGCGGCATAGTAGGCGGCATCTACCGCACCACTTCACTCTCATGGCCGTCGCACTGTTGCTCAAGTTTGGGGAAAGCGCCGATGTCGCCAGCTATGACGGCGACCATTATTACAGCAACGCAAGCATGAAGCTACTCCGATTTCGCGATTTTGAGCCTCGCCAGCAAAGTGCGAAAATTGAAGTTCGCGAAGGCGCAGGTGGGCGTGAAGCTCGTGGATTTCATTTTCATTCGAGCGGCGATGACGTGAGCGTGGAATTGGAGTTCATCGTGCCCTTCTTCAAGGTGCCGGTGAAGCGCAGCATGTCCATGGCCAGGGACACTCTACGGAATATTCTTAATCTCCAGACAGGGGCCCTCATCAACACAGTGGTTGTGGTAGCCGGCGGTGCTATCGTGGCTGCTGTGGTGCGACTATTGCTGGGATCGGTGGTCCTTACACCATACGGCTACGGGCGCGACTCGGCTGCCAACAAAAACAGCCAGACTAATAGAGCCAGTGAGTATGGAAGTCCAATTTGAGGTTCCAAGTGCTAAATGGCATTCCTCTCTCACAGTACGCCGCTTAACGAGCGCCGTGGAGTCCCAACTGGATGAACATCAGATCGATATGCCTGCCTGTGCTCAGCGCTACATCTGCCAGTATTTGCAACGCAACGCGGCCGCCGTAAGGAGGCGGGACCCGACTGCGGCCAGCCATGCCAAGCTAATCCACGCGTTGGCCAAGTGAGTACAATTTCTGGGCGTAAAGTTGATCAAATTTCCAGGGATTATGATGTGCCTTTGTTCTACTTGTAGTTTCCAGTGGCTCGACACCTTCCTAAATGGCACCGCCGTCTTTAATGCCATTGGATCGGCACGAGCAAGCAGCGACTGCGGGCGCATCTTCCGGAGTTGTCGGTGGTCCCAAGTCAACCTGGGCTGGATGCGTGCAATGCCGCGCTTCTTTCAGTATTTCAATGGTTAAGATATTAGATACATATGTATAGTAGGACGAATACCAATGTTAATTATATAGTAAGTAGGTTCTGTTAGTGATGCACACATCCATACAATTAAAATGAATACAAATCCATTAACTATACATATTATCGCCTATGGAAAAATGCTGAAGAATAAGAAATGAATATACGATATCAACCAGATCCTAAAGGTGAGTCGAAATAAGAGCTATAGCTGAACAGGTCGGCGCTTGTTAACTAAGTATATTTATGGCTTATACCTGAAGCGTAAAAGTCATCTGCAAGACGAGACATATCGAGCTAGACATATCCGCCTGTCTGGATGAGCCCCTCGATTTCGGAAACGACTGAGTCTATATTGACCATTTTTCTGACTCCCTAGGCAGCTCCAGTTTGTTTTATTATAGTGGTAAAATAATCTTCAATCTATCTACTTAAGAGTTCAGATAATCAAGCACAACTCTCTTAGAGCTGATTGGGGCTCGAGAACAGCATTACTATTGCAGTCTGGCATATGCCCTTTTCTCAGATTCTAACAATTATGCTTCCAAAATAACATTTCAAGGCAAGCGGAGAAAGCTTTAACAATCAATCGGTCAGTATGGCGAAAACGTGCGAACTGTTTTCGGTCAGTAAATTGTAATACTTCTAAGCATATGCTACTATTTCAGTCATCATTTATCAAGAGATTATAGTATGTCACTTAATAACATATAATGGAATGCATGACCTACCAAGATCTGTTGTTCTGCAAAAGGGAAAGCGATTTAGAAGGCGTTTCGCCCGAAATAAGGGAGAAGATAGCAACATGAATAGAGAAATCGATTTTCCATATCCGTCTGACTGTATGAACGCCTGGATTTCGAAAATGGCTGAGCCCATATTGACCAAACTTGGGGTGCAGACTCTCCTTATCTCCAGGCAACGCGAGTATGTTTATTTTTATACCCTGTACCCAAAGGGTACAAGGGTATATTAGTTTTGTGCGAGTGTATATGGAACACACAGAAGGAGGCTTAGTAGACCCCACAAAGTATATATATTCTTGATCAGCATGACGAGCCGAGTCGATATAGCCATGTCCGTCTGTCCGTCTGTCTGTATGAACGCAAGGATCTCAGAAAGTATTAGAGCTAGAATAACCAAACTTGGTATACAGATTCTCCTGAGACCGAGAAAGGACGAGTTTGTTCATTATTTCTCCACTCCCCCCCCCCCTATTAACGATTTTCTATAACTCCCGTAATTCTTAGAATTATGAACTAAAATTTAGTAGTCACATTAGTTTAGGTGATTATATATCCGTATACCAAGTTTCATTATGATAGAATGATCGGAAAGAAGTTATAGCCATATAACCAGGCCCAATGCACACATACATACATATGTACAAGTACACAAACACGCATAGGCACGATTCTGATGTAACTGTAAATGTATGTATGCATATATGGAATATTTTATATTTAATTTAGTAAATTAATTAAATTAATTTAGTTAATAATTAAATTAATTTAGTTAATTAATTAAATAAATTTAGTTAATTAATTTAATTTATTTTTTGTGGGGTGGTACAGAGTATTTAAGAGTTGAGCCTGCTCGACTTTAGCATTCCTTTCTTGTTTTGATTACCCCACCCCATGACGGACTTTTGACAATACTTTTTTTTTTCAAATTTCATCCAAATCGGTTGATTCTAAGAAAAGTTATTAACGAAGCAATTTCAGTCCAATACGTCCATTTCTTTTTATTAATTTTTCTTCTGCTTCGTTTCGGCTTAAAGTATTTTACTATCGGGCGCGATCGACTGTAGCATCCTCTCTTGTTTATTAATTGCTTCAATGTATAATTAATTTAGCAAATATTAATGAAAACTGAGGCCGTCTATTCCAATCAAAATAGTTTTTTTGGATTGACAACAAATCGAAGCTATTTATATACGAATACTTAGAACAACAAAGTGACATCAAATACCAATTCTGCCAGCAAATAGGGATGGGAATAGGTTTCAGTTCGGAAAATGCTCAACAAAACATAAGAAACTATAGGACGAGTCTTCAACACTAATCTGAAACATGCCTTGCGGACATTTGTTTATTGAGGGATTTCATTTTGCTATAAATAATGTGTGTGTTTAAAGCCAATATTTACATTCAATTATAATTCCTCCAGGTAACCATTTTCTGAGGGCAGCCGCTTCGCTCGCTTATGTCATGCACATGCGCAGCAATTTGTTGCATTTTGCAGAGAAAAGACAACAAAGTGTGCCGCTAAAATCATCACAGTCAAGAGGCGGAACGTGGCGTAACTGAAGCGTTTGTGGCAACTGACAAATTTGCGGGCAACACGTAACAAAGCATCCCATGTAGCTGCAACTTAGTCAGCAGCGTTCGAATAATATTCAAAAGTTTGGGAGCAACGTAACGGCGCGGACCTCGAAGCGGAAGTTGAAAAATGAAACTAGTTTGTGTGCTGATCGTCTTCCTCACCCACTGTGCAAGCCTTTGGGTAGCTTGTGCCGGCGATTCCGACTCAAAGGACTATCGGCAGCACGAAAATGCAGCTGGCCACCATCATCACAAGCCAAATCAAGTGGGATCGCGCTTCATCGCTTTCGAAACTGCAGGAAAACACATCAACTTGGGCTTGGACTATCTATTGCCGTTTCTGGAGGTGCCCGTCAAGCGAAAGGCGAATGGCCCTCCCAAGGTAGGTTGCAATACTCTTTTATAATGCAATCAATTGCAAAATTTAAAATTCACAATATGTTTTTAATACTAATAGTATTGTGGTTTAGTTGTTTGTGGACAAATGTAGAAGACAGAAGAAGGCACATCCATTCCCCAAAAGTACACTTGCATGTGTACATACTACAGTTTGCTTTTTCGGAGTATCAACAAATTGAAGTCTCATCAGAATAAAAATGATAAAAACAACACTTTAAGATAAGATAAGATAAGGTAGGGATCAGAGGATATATGTCCGTCTCAGCAGAAGGTTAATTAGAATTCAGACATAAGCAACATTCACTTCACAGTTGAAAGCGCTTTCAATTCAATATTTTTGTTTCCTTGCTTGCTGGAATCGAAATTAAATTAAATTTTCACTTGCTTTTGGCAATCGATATAAGTCCCATTCCGTCTCTGCTCTTCGCTTTTCATCGGGAGAGAAACCAATTATTATTATTTATTTCATTTAGTTATTAATTATTTATTCTTTATATAAATCTATTGGCAAGATCAGCAGGTTGTGTCTGTCCTCTTCATCCTCCTTCTCACTATTCTTCTTCCTTTTCTTCGCCGCTTCGGCAGGCGCCTTGCTAATACATTTGCGTGGGTTCGCAGACGCTCCATGTATTGAGCAGCCTGCTTATTTGGCAGGTCACCAACTTTTTCCACCCCTAGATCCTTTTCTAATTGTGCTGTTTTCATGTAACAGGGGACACCTGTTAGTAGGTGAAGGGATTTCCACCAGGTGAGATTTTGCAGCGATTCCATATACTTGCAAGCCATATCGCCAAGAGGGAGCGATACAATTGTTTTTAGCCAGGATGGCCGTGTCATCTGCGTAGGAAGCGATTAGAAGGTCCTTTGGGTCCTTTCCCTTCAATAGAAATCGTAGTGCCAGTGGTGGGCCCCAAGACACTGCCTTGCGGAACTCCAGCTCTAATACCGCTGACACTAGATTGGGGGGCAACATTGGCTTAATTTTGACTAATTAGGGCATTTAATTTAGGCCATTGCACCAGACTCTATCAAAGGCCTGCCTTATGTCCACGTATGCCGCCACCACGTACTCCTTAGCCTTAAATCCCTCAAGGATGAAATTTACTACCCTATTCAATTGTTCTGGTGGTAAGATTAAAATTCTTGTGATAAGTGAAATGGTTTAACCGTTGAATGAAATAAATAAATAATATAAAGTAAATTATACAAATTGCAGTTTCTACAATGGCAGCAAAAGAAAATAAACCATATAAGGAGTGCTGCATTAAGAGCCACTAAACAGTCAAAAATTACTGATTTTTTTGCCACGCAAGGAGCCACCATATAAAAAAATGTTAATTACAAAAACTGCTCTGATTATAAATGCCACCAAATGAATTTCCATTTTATTTTAATAAATATGTGTTCTCTTTTTACTTTTGAAAACTTTTGCCATTTGAATAAACCTTTCCATGTTTTTGAAACTAATGAAACGACGTTTTCAAGGAACGTAACCCCCGGGTTAAGCGAGGGCTACATGTACAAACATATCTATTTGGGGCGAGTACTTACCCTTTCCTTGCAGACTACCATCATCGTTATTACTATAAGCAGTTTCCCATAATATTTATTAACTTTTAACTGTGTATGTATTTCTGCCTTGCAGAAATTAAAATTTTGATGAAATTTGTTAAAAACTTCTAGCCACTGGTCATCATCAACTCCGCGGCGATCCTCAGCGGCGGCCTGATTGCCGGGGCCGGCCTTCTTGTGGGTCACCTGATCAGAAGCATGGGCCTGGAGAGTGTGGATGCGAAGGACGAATCAGGTGAAAACGAGGACGGCCATAACGCCCGCAGCTTGTTCGATGATGAGCAAGGTTTCCTGCAGCTGTTCGACAACTTTAAGCTGGTCTATCGGAACGAGAGTGGCGGGCGTGTGGGTAAGTTAAAGCACAATAGATTCGGCTGCTGGCCATAAGAGCCTGTCTGTTACAGAGGCTGCCCTGCCCAGTTTCTTGGACACCATTGAAAGCACTTTCCTTGAGCACAACATCAATCTGGGCGTTTGCATGCTAAAGTCCATTTGCGGTTTGGTTCGCAAGGCCAGTGACAATGTGCTGAATGGGGAGGCGACCGAGCTGGAGCGTGTCCTGGATGGAGCTGCTAGCTGGTCTTGGTTGTTGACGTGGCTAGAGAAGACGGAGGTTCGCGAAGCCATCGATGCGGGCAGAGTGGCGCAAGTCTCCAATTATTGTACGGCCAAATATCCAAGCTGCGAGTGGGCAGCGCCAGAGGAAAAGCTTTGGAAGCTTTTCGGCACAAGCATACAGTTTAGATGAAGTGCAAGTGGACGGTGTCAGAAGAAAGCTTTGGGAGCTTTTCAATTCCACCACAGTACAGTACAGTGCTGCATGCAAGCAGTGTTTTTTCTCAAATGCAGTACCGAAACTTTCCGTAAGCGTTGTGTGGCGGCGCTAGCTCCTTTTTCCTTACCATTCACCCTGTAGGCCTTTATTTAAATAATGATTCGTGTTTAGTTTTCATGCATGCAATATTCATCGAAATGATTGTTTTATTTATATATTTATCAATATGTGTTGTTTACCGAGATAGTAGAACATAGAACAAACATGATTAAATTTAAGTTTAGATAGAAAACATCGAAAGATACTGCTTAATTAAAGAGACAATTTGCTTGTTAATTTTATGACCTAAATATACAAATATATATGAATTCTAATTTACATAAAATAACAACAAAATCGAAACATAATCGTGTAATTCCAGATAGACTGATTGAACATAATTTTAAGAAAAATGGGAAAGTTGTGTCAAAAAATGCACAAAATTGAAATTGAATCAAGAATACGTGAAACTAAAAGGGTTCCCTTACTTAGCGTTAAATATTTATCGCACTACATACAATTTGAATAATTCCCTTACTTTTAGTTTTTTTTTTCCTCTTTTTTTGTGTAAAACCATTTAAAAATTTTTTTCTTTGCTTTTTTTTTGTCTGCCATAGTTTATTATAGTTCGGATTACCGGGAGGCTTCAGCTTGTGCCGCACTATGGAAAACTTTACATTGTATATTTTTTTACATAAACAATCTTTTTTTGCCAGTTTTCATTTTAGATTTGTGTATATAATGTCATTAAAAACTACATTACATAGACATGTGTACATCTGGTTCTAGGCAGTTAAAGTTGCTAAAAAACTATTCATAATATTTCAAAAACTTTCCTTTCGCTCCAAGTGTGTCTGTTTTGTGTGTGTGTCTGTTTGTGTGTGTGTGGGGCACGTTCTTTTTAATCAATCAATCAATCAATCATTTGGTTACACTTCATTCTCAGGTACTTGTTCACAAATGCGCCGAAAGTAAAAGGAAAACAAGTAGAGAAATGCGTTCGGAAAATGCAGTGCTTCCAAAACTGTATGCAACAAGAACGTGCGTGTGTGTGTGTATTTGTGAGGGAGTGTGTGTGATTAGGCGATCTCCGGCCAGTCGATCATTTGATCGTTAAACTGGAAGTCCCCCCCACTCATGTTGTAGTCATCGTTGCAGAGGTCCATCCAACCAGGAGTGCCCAGTAGCGGGTTGCTGCTGTCCATGTACGATATGGAGGACTTGCGACTGGTCGCGTTGCTGCCACTTGCTTCCAGATCCTCTTCAATAGGACGCTGCAGCTGCTGCTGTTGTTGTTGTTGTTGTGGCGGAGGTGCCGGCGGCGGCGTAGCGCTCGTCGTCTGTTGCGACACATCCTCGTTCCCCTTGTTGGCAGTACGCTTTGAGGGGGAGGAGGGCGTTCCCTCCACCATGCTGTTGTCATCGATGCCGCTATCACTGGCGGAGTCCGTGTCACAGGCTGTTAGGCCCGGCGGCATGGAGTCGTCCTGGGAGCACGTTGAGCCGCCATCGCCAGCATCTGCAAAAACGGGCGACAGCTGTAAATTGGTGCCGCTTATCAGCGGATTATGGCGATAGTTGCGAAGGATTGCAGCCGTGCTGGTGTAGCAGTGGAGCGGTTTTGTGTATGCGGACGTATTGTCGACCGTGTCGTTGTCCAGAGACATAGGCTCCGATGTGTCCTCGCCATTGTCGATCTGATTTTTGGAATAGAGTAGAGGGGAGATACAGAAAGAGAAATTAGTTAACAATTAAAGGAAGCTTGAGGGGAAGCTTGAAAATCGTGACTTCATTTCATTTAATTTAATTATGTCACGAGTTTCAGGCTTCGTCGTTTAAGGATTTTTTAAACTTTCTTTGCCTTTTTCCTTTACACACTGAAACACTGAATATATTGTTCACTTCTCTGTCATAATTTGCGGTAATTGGATCGATTTTGGAATTGTTTTCAATTATTCCTAATGCTAATTAACAGAAATATCTTATGCAATCGCACACTTAAAGCAAACTTAGGTACAGCAATAATCACTTAAATTAACGTAAATATATTATCTGCATTCTAGGCTAGAGCCGTAATATGAAACCTGTGCCCATTTCTGTGCAAATGCGGCAGATTAGGAGGATAAATGAATTCGCAACTCACAACTTCGCATTTCATATTCAATGCGAGCGCCAGCAATTATGGCGAACCGAGAGGAAGGTCATAATTATGACGAGGGATCTGTGCTGGAAAATGAGCTCAGCGTTGAGTATTTTGAGCCGCATTCGCAAAACTTTTTAAAGTCACAGGATATTCGAAAAGACAACCAGCAGACACACCCACTACAAACCTAAAAGGAAGCAGAGCGCACACAAAAGTGTGCCGCAAAGGCAGTCTCTCGGCAATAAATCATATTGTAATGGCAATGTTCGCTTGTCCCACTCTCCGTGGTTGCTTAATAGAGTATAAGGATGTCAGTGCGGAGGAATATGATTATGCTGGATTTGGGCACAGCAAGTCGAGATACTCCTACGTGCATATCAATTTCAATGGCGACGGCTCCAAGTTGCCGTTTGTACTTTTCAATAATAATGACGCCGATGCTGAAGGGAAAGCTGTCTAGCTCAGAAAATCTTTTGTAATGCCACTCTCCCCTTCCTCTTCCCTCTTCCCCAGCCAGAGTTCAAGGGTCCTTTGGTGCTGCTGCAGTTTAACGAACTCTGCACGGAGATTTGTTTGTCTTTCAGCTGCAAGCAACCGCTAATTGCAGCCAGCGCTCAATTACCAGAAAGCGAAAGTGCTGTAAGTTGATCGATGGACAAATACGAGTATATGCGAGTAAGTCAGAGACAATGCCCGCCAAGTGCAAATGGACGTGTAAACCGACATGTGCGCCAAGTTAACCGAAAGGGAAAGTTTGCCACCCAAGAACACGCCTCAGCCTCAGCGCAATCCACAGCCCCTATCTCTAGCCCCACCCTACACGTGCTTTTGCGCCATATCAGCAGAGCAGAAATACGCGCAGCCCTGGATGTGGAAGTGGCCGCTAGGCATATCAAACCACTTCGTCGGCACATTAACAGCTGCCTGTGCCTCGCACTTCGGGAAAAAGAAACTTCGCGAAGCACACACACACACACACACACACACACACACCCACACACACCCACAGCGATAAAAACAAAGCAAAGCAAACGGGGAAATAAAACAGAAAAAATAAAAAATGAAAGCTAAGGCTGCTCGACGCACTGGTGCCCTACAGTCAGCAACACAATCCACATATTTTTTAAGTTTCCTTTTAATCTATTTTATTTTTTCCACATATTTTTTAAGTTTCCTTTCAATTTATTTTATTTTTTCTTTTGAAAGTGGTTTCTGGTTTCTGAGACAGCAATTACCGGGAATATCAGACCCATCAGACCCCCATGGAGTATTTCATACAATTTCGAACAGCACCATGTGACTAAATCCTGTGAATGCAAAGTAAGTGCTATACTCCACAGGGTCATTTATAGCTCTAGCTCTCAACGAACGGACTATTCTCTTCCTGTAATCACAGATGCAAAGAGAGGCTCAAAACCAAACAAAACAGCATTGCTAAGGTCAGGCAGGCAAAATGCAACATCTTATAAAGGATCTATATAAACTTGCCAGCTGTTGTATCCTTCACTGGTTATACTTCTAGTATACGAAGCGAAGGGGACATAGCTTGCCGGACTGGCAAATCAAATCTTCGCTTAACGGGTTAGGGATTTTCCCTTCGCTCTTTTTGCTCCTTAAGCAATCTTATGAGTTACTAATTAGAATTTAGTTCTCTCTTCCTGTTACTATTTTTTCAACGTTTAGGAGACGCTAATAGGCATTATTTTTGAGGCTTTCTTAAAGTTGCACCTATTATTTGTTATCTTCATCTATATTGTAATCTATATCGACAGCCCACATCTTGTTAATAAAATATAAAATAGAAAAACAAGAAGTATTTCGATATGAATTAATGATCATAATAAAGCTAAACTTAATGGTTTATTTATGTAAGAAAATTTTACTGTTCAAAATAATGTATCTTAATTCTGTTTTTACAGTTTTCTGTTTTTAACACAGTTTGAAAATTAAAAATTGTGTATATGGTTGCACGTCTTTATTCCATTTAGCACGATTCAAAATAACTTTTAATCAATTTATTTTTTTTTGAAACCAATCTACCGTGTAAAAACAGAATTAGGTGTATAAAACGAGTATATGTGGCCTAATTAATGTCCACCCTACAAACCCATAAGACCCCCTTTTCCACTTATAACTGCAAGTCTGCCTTATTCTCTCACTCGACTGAGACTTACTCTCGCCCGCGAATATTTCAAGTCGCGATCACGGTTGCGGCGTGATCAGTGAACAGCTGACAGGGTTGCCAGAGCTGCTGCGCACGTTTCTATGCTACCACCAATGCATCCCCAACCCGAATAGCTATTGTAACTAATGAAGCCCATCTTCTCCTCTATGTCGTCGTTTTGAATTCTGATATAAAGCAGCTCACAAAACATTTAGAAATGTTCGAAAATACATGAATGGCTGATTAAGATCTACATTCGCTAATTCGAGCAACAGTTCATTCACATCTGACTTTCTCGAAATCTACTTGAAGGCTAGATTCGTCTTAAAGGGTATTGTTATAAGGGTATACTCGATTGCATCAAAGGTTTATCAGTCAGAGATTTTATTCCGCTTTATCTAAACAAACTATGGCTAGTTGCATATTTCTGAAATGATTTTGGACCGTTTCCAAAACCCCAGCCCAAGAAGCGAAAAGTCTGGAGGTAGATTACCCGTGCTAGTCGAAGGACCCGCCTCTTCCGTTTCATTTTTGGACAACTTGGGATACATTAATAACAACAGCTTTATTGTACCTTTAATGGATGGTGGAGGAGGGTATAAAAAAGCTGCATGCATAACGCTTGGGCCAGTCGGAGGGAAGTTTTGAAAAATTCGCTGTGCACGCGCTATGGCCCCTGGGTGTGCGCTGTGGAGGGCGTCGAGGCGGGTACTGGCTAGCGTTGTGTATGGGTGGGGGGGAATGCCAAAACAAATACGAAAAAGTATTGTAATAGGTTTATTCCTTGATATATTGTTCGGCCTAGCATTCTTGCCAAAATATATAGTAGCAGCATTCACATTCATAAGCATAAGCATAGGCGTAACATGCTTTGCTGCATTATTGCTGGCAGGGAGCGACGAAAGTGAAAACGAAACTTGGTAGTATTAAGGAAATTGGATGGACATATTGACAGAAATTCGTGTAATTGGCAACTTATTGTCAAAGCAGTGGCCTACGTCCATTAGGCAGAAGCTCTAGGGGCCCAACTTTATGACAGCGCTGCGACCGCTTTAAAGTCAGTTTCATGTTCACGTCACTGCTCTTTAAATAGGCATGCGAGCACACACACACACCCACACGCAGACAAGTGTGTGTATGTCAACAAAAAAAGAAGAAGAAGTAAAGAAAAGTAATTAAAGCAAAACTTTTACTTTCGCCTGCCGCCTGCTGTTCTTTATATTCTCTCTCTATACTGAGTAGTGTGGGCTCCGGCCTAGCACAATACATCCAAGATGCCCATGTCTTGTGCTTTGTTTGCTACAAAAATTCTCTGTCACTTTAACAATCATAATAAAAGAGGACATTCAATATGCGCGGCTTACAAGTTCTAGCAGCTTAGCGCACAAAAGTAGGCAACAGCAGCATGCTCTCGCTCTCCCCGCCCTGCTCAACGTCTCTATCGATTTTGGTCCGTGGAGTGTTGCGTGTGTATAAAATTTCATTTCGATTTTCTTAGTACGCCGCCAGTTTAAATTTCGCCTACAGGCGCCGGAATTTGACTTTTCTTCCAACAATTTGCGACATTTGTTGCGTCATTTTCGAGACCAGCTCCTGGGAATACACACTTATCGCATGGCAGAAGCATTGATGTTCAAATGGACTGTGCCGACTGTAAATGCGAAAGGGTTCGCATATCCCCCGAGGAATACTAAAGTTGTAGGCAAAATCAATAAGCAGCATGACAAAATAAAAATCCAACAGCGAGTCTTTTTTTCCATTTGCCGACCAATTTGTGGCTTTGATGTTGAAGCTATTTAATTATTTCTCAATATCGCCCGACCTTATCGTGAACGTAGGCGCATTATTTATGCAAACACACGCATGCATGCTGAATGTGTGTGTGTGCAGATAAATTTCCATTTCGATTACAAGTTGTGGGGCTGTCAAAGATTTGATTAAGTCAGTATCGAGCTGAGGCAGACAAACGGGCGCTCAGTCTGCCAGCAGATAGCATCATTTATACCAATCAAGAGATTTTAATAAATTGCCAGTTGGCTTGTCTCGCATTATTCCAATAAAGATTAATCAATTCCCAGGTTGTCGGGCTACATACATCCTAAGGACGAGAGCCCCCATCAAAATTATTGGCAAAAGTTGAGTGGAGAAGTGTTGCCCAATAGCGAAGCCCAAATCAAACACAATGTTAGTTTTTCTTTTTGTTTTTTTTTTGCTTTCTGCATTCGCGGCATATTTTATAATTTGCTTGTTTTATGTAATACATAATATGCATGTATAGTATGTATATGCATGTCTGTATGAATGTCTAAAATATTTATTAAAATTTATTTAAAAATATTCTCATTATACACATAGCAAGATGCATTGTTATTAGTTTAATATCGTTTATG